GGTAAATAATGGGGATTCACTCAAGTTAACTGAACAAGTTAATAAGTCTTGCTCTATAAGTAACATCCGTCACGCTTAAGTTAATGAAATTTATTTAGTCTTATTTTCATTTTATATCACTACTCTCAGTGGATTGCTTGTCTCCGAAAATTTTATCAGCTAATGATCAGTAATCAGTGATTTGTAACTGACATAACTTATATCACAATTTGGAGCTACCCCCAAGCTATAAAACCAGGTGTAATCCATCATTTTCTTTGTAAAAATACCTGTTCCAAGTCCCGAATAGGTAAGTTGTTTTCTACTTGCGTAGTTGGTTGATTAAGTGCGACGTTTGATTTTGTCAGTTTTAATGGACTTCACCCTTTTTTGAATTGACCTTTGAGTTATATTTGATGCACTTTTTTTATCATGCGATTATAAAGTTAACCCTTGATATATTCCGTTTTTATTGATGACAGACCGATAACACCAAGGCTAAAAAAAACGAAAAGCGATCAAAAGACAAAATCAGTCTGTAAAGTACAATACATAAAACTAAGACACGAACGATACCAAAACCCGGGGTGATCGCAGGTGCTCCGGTAGGATTAGCAGATCCTGGTCTATATGTGACATCCGCCATGTGATCAAAGCCCTGAATCGGCAGGCATCATTTGCTTTAAAATGAATTTGGTTATCAAGTTTTGCTGCTGATATATAACATGTATAAGTAATCCAGAAAGCGCTTCAAATGTATAAAGTGTTAGTTCCATTTTTAATCATCGCAAGAAGTCGTTGCCCTTTGATGAATATGTTTAACAAATATAAGTATTTCTTTCTATACATTTGAAAGCTAGTTAGAAAGATGAAAGAACCGCTGATAGCAAAAACAATTTAAATGTGAGCTATTGTTTACTTATAATACCCCATCTATAAGTATTCGGAAAACAGGAAGTTGATAATCGAGGTATGTTAAAACACATCACACACTTAAAGCATACTAACATCATTTTTGATGTTGCTCTGATTCCTCGTAAATTGAAAAAGGTTCATACATTGTCATTTCCTGAAATCATATACATTTGAAATCCTGTCCCTTTTCCCCCAAATGTGGCCTACCGAATTAAACTTATCACCAGGTAAGTGCTTACATGAGCAACACGACGGGTGCAATATGTGAAGTAGGATCTGCTTACCCTTCTGCAGCACCTCATTATGCTCACTATTTAGTTTTCTATGGTGTGTTTTGCATACTGTTGTTTGTCTTTTTCTGTTTAAGCCAAAGCGTTGTTAGTTTATTTTCGGCTTATGAGTTTGAATATGTCTTTCGCCTCTCATTTATAAGTATTTGGTAAACTAAAATTTGATAAGCAATGAATTAACAAATGCATTACAAGGTAGATCATGTTCACAAGAATAGCCAACATGGACAAGGACTTGAACTATGCATTAAGAAGACATATTCTTTAGGAATTTTTAGAATTTTTAAGAAGGTTTTAAAACAAACATGTATATGACCCTTTTGTGATAGTAAGTTTATGTGAATAAACGTTGCAGGCGTAATTAGGAAAGTCTCAATTATTTCAAGAGAAAATGTTGTCTTAATATCTGAAGATATTTATAAGAGTTATATGGAGTTTTGCTGTCAGAATTTAAACTCGGCCAAACACAGTTTCATTAAAGGGGAAGAACACATCTGGAATAAGAGGGGATAGTTTGTTTTGAAATAAAAATTTCTTGCCGGTCAAGTATATGGGGAAAAAACGAAAATAGAAAAAAAACAAGAAATGATAACGGCTTTGACATATATATATTTCATTTTCTTTTCCCTTTTTTTTTATTCATTTTGACATATCAAATAAAGGTAAATTGAAGATATCTTATATTTGCCAACGAAAATACAGTGTACATCAAAGGGACCACAGTTTATACAAGACTTCTAATAGTTCGACCTCCTAAAAGTTAGTGAATGCATGATAAGTTTAAAAAATTAGTGATAACGAGTTTCTTAACTGTTGTAAAAGCAGTAGTCATCTGAAATATTTGTTGTTAAAGCTTTACCGAACTGTACCTTTAATATGATTTGCATAATATGGGATTCTTTTCTATGATAGGTTAAAAGCGCTTCCTATATAGATTTTTTGTTGAACAAAAAAATATCAACCGAAGTCGTATCGGTTTGTTATCCGCATATAAAAAGAGGTAGATATGCTTTCTAGTCTCTATTTTGGTCGGTCCGTTCGTTCGTCCGACCCTGTCAGGTTCAAGTTTTGGTTTAAGATACTTTACTATAAAGTCATGGTCACATCAATTTTGAATTTTTTTTTGCTGTTTCTGTATTGGAAAAAAGATCAGTATCCAGTACAATTTAATCATAAAAAATATTTTGTCATCTTATAAATTCAGCACTTTAAACATTATATAGTTTTAATCGAAAATTTTACATATTTTTATATTAATTTTAGTATGTTTGAAAAACTGAATTGTCAAGTGTTGTAGGCCAAATTAATCTGACAAACCGGATTACATCTAGCAAATGGATAAGTAAACATAAATAATGTTGAAAGGCTGATTTACTGCTAAGGAGAAATTTTTATTATTTGCAAAAGTGGAAATTATATGTTCATCTGTGTTTGATTTGATTTTTTAATATTTTATACTTAGTACTTATCTGCTTTCTTTAATTCTAAACTAAACATTCAGTGGTGCCTCTGCACAATATTATTAATAAAAGCTTTATCACTGAAATTACATTCTGACATATAAGAAGAAGAACTGCGTGTTAAGACCATCGTATCACACCATCCATATTTTCAGAACCTTCAAACTAAATATACGTATTACTTTGTACCTAGTAGACAATATTGAACCAGGTATGTTCATATAGGTTGACCAAATCATTATTTTACATCACTAAAACAGAAATTTATTAACATTTATTAAAAATTATTTATGTATTTGAAATAGACGATTTAATGATTGAAAGACAAATTTAGGAACGTTTTTCAAGGATTTGATGTTCTTTCTTTTCAAAATTTCACCTATTTTGAAAGAATTCGATCAGAAATATTTCAGAAAATAAAAGTGGCATATGCATTAATTTTTCCGATGTTCAGTTAAATTTCAACGACCCAAAGTTTCAAGCAAAATTTTAACAAAAAATCTGTGACATAGTCCAATTACTGTAACGTTACCGTGAGTGTTTATTTAACTAAAGCTACGTTTGTATATGAAAAAAAGAAATGCAGCGTATATGTCAATGCGACAGCAATGCGAAAACAATGTAAATAACCAAGAGACACACAGAGGGCAACGTACAGTCTTCAATTATAGACAGTTTTCTTTACAATATGTCTTGCTATAAATTGTTTCAAATCTATAATCGATGTAAATAACTGGATAATGTAACAAAACTAACCAAAGATATTTTAGATTTATCAACACACAATTCTTCAAATATCTAGAAGAATAACTGTGCTTATTCAGTAGGCTTTGGCCTATTTCAATAGCAATTGCTCAAACAGTTTACCAAATTGCAGTTTGAATTCTTCTCCCACAAACTGATATATTGGTAAAATATTTTAACAAACTGCTTCAGTGAATGGTTGTGAGTTGAAGAGAGTGCAGTGAAGTATGCAGTAATACTAGTTATTCAAAATCCCAACCGTTCTTTTTTTTAGTATAGATGAAAAATTAACAAAGAAATATATAAAATTATTAGAACATACTAAAAATTAGTATCAAAAATGTATATGCTAATTATCTAAGCATAATTTTAACTTTTGACACTTTATTATTTATTATCAGACAAATGCTGCATATAAATATACATATATATAAAAAGGTATGGGCTTTTTGTTGTTTATTTGTTGTTGCTTTGATTGTATTTTGTATGTTGTGTCTTGTGTACTATTGTTTGTCTGTCTTTTTCTTTTTTAGCCATGGCGTTGTCAGTTTATTTTCGATCTATGAGTTTGAATGTCCCTCTGGTATCTTTCGTCCCCCCTTTGTAACTTATGTTTTTTTTCTTGTAATAAGTATACTTATGTTATAAATATATATATATATCTTCAGCATAATAGAGGAAGTAAAGAGAAATCAAACAATCAAACAACTTAATAACAAAATTATACCGTATTTAAAATGTGGTCAGGTTTGGCTAGCTATAAAACTCAGTTTAACCCATTATTTTCAGAAAATGTATTTACCAAGTCAGACATATGACAGTTGTTTTCTATTTGTTCTGTTCTTAAGTCGAGCATTTGATTTTGTAAGTTTTTAGGGACTTTCCCTTTTTGAATTTACCTTGGAGTTCAATGTTTGTGTTAAAATATTTTTCAGTTACTGCAAGTAAGCTCGACTTTTTATTTAATTCTTTAAACGATAAAAACAAATTGTTAAATTACTGGAGTTTAACCAAATTATTTCTGACACTCAATGGTGGGACACATTGTTTTGTGGTAACTAGAGACCAAAAGGATTGCTAACCTTTGTAAGGGAATATACTTGAAGAAAAAAAATGTTGATATGCACATTTTAACTTTATTTAACGCCTTATTCATTCACAATCAAATCATAACTTGTTAGATTGGAGCTATAATTTTAGGGCCCTATTGGTCATGTAGCTCTTCACATGTTTCTGGTTCTTATACATCCTTGACTTTCATATATTTAAATTTGAGCGTTCCTGATAAAGGAAAAGCCTTTAGAAATCATTAGAAATGGTTTGACAACGGTATATTACGACCAAAAAAATATTCAAACAAAAAAATACCATTTGCTTTTATCTTATTTGCCAGTTGTGATCTAGAAGATGATAACATTGCAAAGTGTATTCGGTTGTTCCAAATAATATTAATGGAGCTTAAAGGTTTTTACGCTACATGTACAGGATTTTACATACATTCATCTATGCCATTGACAGGTGTTTTACTACAGTCTGTGTTTGTTTTGTTATGTTGTTTTTTTAATCTTATTGTTAGGAATAAGTCATTTTAATTTGATTTATTGATAAGGCAAATGTTTTAAGATTTATTAGTATAAATTGCATCATATATTGAATAAAATAATAAAGTAAGATAACAAATTCTCATAAATATACAAAAATGTGGCGATCATTATATTAAACAACTTTTATAGAACAGCGAATCAACTCACACTGTATACTAAGACAGTTCAACCTTCATTTGTATTACCGGTATCACAAACAAGACATCGATCTTTGTAGTTTTGGTTTAAACAAAAGTGTCAGTCTATTCATTGAACTTTGATCATAATGTTCTATTGGTTCTTTTAGAAGAAACGCGTCAGGTAGCTCATCTTCCTTTCTAAACAAAACGGGAATAACTCTTCCATGTTTATCCTCCTCCTGTAAGGATAACAGCAAGCACATGTCGACTATGTATTTAAACGTTTGCGATTTCTTGTAATTAGATAATAACACAAAAATATATTGTCTAGAAAAATACGGCCGTACGTCAAGTTTTCTCTTTCCTGGCAATCGCACCTCTTCTTGAAGCTCTATTTTGACCTCTGGCAATATTCTGTTCACTTCTTTAAGAAAATATTCTGCGTCATGGTAGTCTTCTTTATGTTCTGAATGGAGTACAACAGCTGTTCCACAATAACAACCAATACCTGTAAATATGTAAATGAAATGTAGTTGATCATTTGGTAAATAAATAATAAGTTATCAAGACTCAGCAGTTGCGTTCGGAAAGTTGTAAGCGCATTTATAACAAAAAAAAACTTTGAGTGAACCTACATGCTTTGATGGACAGAATTCATCTTTTTATAAGTTAGTTGATGAGATAAGTCAGTTGGGGTGATTTATTTTTTTTCATTTTATATTTCAGGACAATGCATCTTTTTTGAAAAAATAAGAACCCACAAAAGGATATAATTTAATTTCTTCTAATGAATGTTTCGTCCAAAAACACAAAATATTTTCATTCTATGCTACAAACTCAAACAATTGAAATTACTTTGAGGTATATCTTCTAATTCAAGTTCTGTAACACCCATCCTCCAATCTACTCCCAGATCATTCAAACGGTCTTTCATCTTTTTTCTCCTTCTTCTATTCCTAAATATATTAGAAAAGTTAAGTAGGTCAGATATGAATATAACATTTCTAAATATTGCTGAGGCTGCACTATCCTAAAGCAAAGTTGACATTATACGACGTTGGCTGTTATTTTACGACTTTTTTGTTGATTGTTAAGAATAATTTGATTTATATGTTGTCAAAATGTTTGTACATTTTTACTTCCCCTTCTCCGCGTCACCGTTGATTGAGGTCTTCAATAAAGGCAACAGTAGTATACCTCTGTTCGAAACTCATAAATCGATAGAGATAAAAACAAATCCGGGTTACAAACTAAAACTGAGGGAAACGCATCAAATATAAGAGGAGAACAACGACACAACAAAAACACAACATTAAAATGTAACACACACAGAAACGAACTATAATATAACAATGGCCATTTTCCTGACTACAAGTCCACCGAGAATACATTCCGACTGAAATGCAGTATTTTGTTTTGTTTCGTTTTACACTACTATTCCCCATGCGCAACTGAAAGATCACTACATCGTCTCATTAAACAGAGCTTTTTCTACAAAAATTGGAAACGCAGATACAAACTCTTTGTTTCAGGTAACGAAAAATCTTATTTTGTGAGGCTTCACACTGATTCCCACAACAAATACACCGTCAAGTTGATATGTTCAAAATGCTTTAGTTTTTTAAACATATTTGTTGAGTTTGTTGCATTGACATTTCAGCAGACAACCGTTATTCAAATGGGTAATAACAGTGCAGAACTTCTGACCGACTTATTTTTGTACTAATATGAAGCTGAATTCATACAAGGAAAGGCATCTTGCAAAGTTCTTTATTTCACCTCCAGATATACTGATGATATTTCATCACTCAATAATCCACAATTTTCAGTATATTTGTGATTTTCCTTTTTTTTTATATCCCATATGTCCTAGTGAACTTAAGACTAATGATACGATATTGACACGTATAGATGACTCAAAACTAGCATCTGTGGCAACCGTAATGATTTCAACTTTCCAATTGCCAACTTCCCGTTTCTCAGCAATTACATACCCTCTGAGACATTGAATGGCGTTTACATATCGAAGTTAATACGTAACGCTTGGGCATCTTCACAACAAATGGACTTCATTAACAGGTGTTCCTTGCAAAAAAATACTCTAAGAGAGTTATAAGGAAGAATGACGGAAATCAACACTGCATAAGTTTTACAGTCATTATCACGATTTGGTTGACCGATACGATGTAAAGTTGTCTCAACTCACTAGCGACATATTTTTCGCAGTTTACGATATTATGATGCCTGTAAAGTAGTCTTATCTGTGATTTAACCGATTGTGTCTTATTTCCGTTCATGACATTTTGACTGAGTGTGAATTCGCTTGGCGGGTGATGCATGCATAACAGGAGACGTTTACCCTGTCGACAAACCTGTTCTCGCTCCTTTCAAACTTCAAAAGTGTAATTCAGTTTTTGTTTGTCTCATACTAATCGATTTACGAGATTTGAATATCGGTAGATTACTGTAGCCTTGATTTAAATGATACCATTATTTGTATATTTTCAGTTCATTAAACGTGATTGTGCTTTCTAAGTCTAAAGCAAAATAACAAAAATATCGAACTCCGAAGAAAATTCAAAACGGAAAGTCCCTAATCAAATGGCAAAATCAAAAGTTCAAACACATCAAACGAATGGAAAACAACTGTCATATATGAAAAAAAGTTAATCTTAAACTGGTTTGGCTATCCTGTTAGGGCCATTTGGTTTTTATGATATCAGACGTTTTACATTTTGACTTTTCAATTCAAAGTCTACCAAACTTGACTGACTTAATATATTATATACCTGTTTCTCATCAAAACACATACAGTTTCATATAACTTTCTTGCTTTGGGTTTCACATCGGATAGTTGTTTTGCCAACAAGATAACTTCACTGATTTTTTTCAGTGAATGTGGTTTGTAAGATTGTCTATGTTGACGATGTTCTCCATTACCTACTGGTACAACAATTTTATTTGAATTGAAATAATTGTGATCGAGTGGCGGTGAAAATGTTGAACGGGATTCCGGTTCCGGGTCCTTTTCACAAACTATTAAGGGAAAGTCTACTGGTTTTCGTGTGTATTCCATTTTGGCGGCTTCATTTGTTTCTGTTTTTGAAAGTTTTGGACAGATTCCTGCAACTTCATCTGAAAACTGATTGATTGTTTCAAACACAGGGTCTGGTTTAAACAACAGGGTATCATTCCTGGTAGTTTCCTTGTTAACACAAGCAATTGTTCCTAAACCACAACTATATTTAGTTACATTTCTTATGCTAACCACTGGTCGATCTTCATTATTTGACTGGTTTGGCATCAAAACATTAGATTTCTTATCCCATTTTTTTAAAGTGGAAAAAACTGCAGAATTGTGGAATGTTTCTTTGTCCTTTGAACTTCTTCCATTATATGCTTTAATATTATTTTTTTCTGTAAACTCCTGTTGAACGTTCGGTAGTAAATTTTCAACAACACATTTTATGATACCATATTCTGCATTTCTATTTACAGTCTCTAATCTACAATAAGAATGAACCTTAGAACATAGCGGTATGTAACAGACATTAGACGTTGTGACAAACATTAGGCTTTTGCGTACATAGTTTTCTTAAGGACAGATTTTTCGTGATAGAAACAAAACATATAAAATAAATCAAAACCACAAAATACTCTTTTGTAAGAAATTCAAAACGGAATACATGATTTTGTATTAATAAGTGTGTGCTAATATATTGGCAATGAAATCACACTAAATGACGGTTTTCTATTTGTTTTCAAAGATAATGCAAGTGTCATTATTTAGACTATATGTTGAAGATTTCTATAGCCAGTTTCCTATCACAATTTATAGTAAAAAAAATTTCCTGTACTTTAAAAAGATATATAGGACAATTCTGTTTAACAAAAACTTACCCATACGAACGTATAGGAGGTTGTTTGTTCATTTGCCATTTACATCTGAGCTTATCATGTTCTCGGCTAGATTCTTCTGATTTGCACAAAGGCAGATGAAGTTTAGTCTGTAAAAATCAATATGTGTGCAGCAATATGCATGGATTTCATGTATAATTATTGCATGAATTCGATAATTACTTATTATTTAAAGATTCGAGAAAAACTTTTGTTTTTAAACGGTAAAAGAATTTACCAATCCAAGTGACAAAAAGAAATCCTTTATTAATCCATATTATACTGTTCCATCACTAAGGTATGCCAACAGTATATTTGTAGTTGATGCTCAGCTATGATGTTTACAGAAAGAGAGAGAGAGCTGCATGTAATGATGTCTTTCAATAACTTTAAATTACAAGCAGTTTTGAATTGCAGAACCATCGGTTTGCTGAGATTGTCGATCGGGTTCTCTTTACCACGTATAAGCATTTGAAAAAGTAAAATAACAAAAATATCGAACTCCAAGGGAAATTTAAAACGGAAAGACCCTTATTAAATATCAAAATCAAAAGCTGAAATACATAAAACGAATTGAAAACAACTGTCATATTCCTGATTTGGTACAGACACCACCTTATGTAGAAAATTGTTGATTAAACCTGGTTTAATAGCTAGCTAAACCTCTCACTCATATGACAGTAAGTACCATAAGTTATTTATTTTCAATTTTATTTTGAATATGTCCTAATCAGTTATTCTAAAGGCTATAAACACTCGTATCTAATAACAGTTTGTATTACTCGTTTATAGGCCGGGTATATTTTATGTGTTTACTAGTTAAGATAAACGCATAAAATATAGTTCGGGTATATTTTATGCGTTTATCTTAACTAGTAAAGTTTTTTAGTTACATACAAATAAAACTATTGATCAGGAATGTGTTGGAATTTGAAACATGCGGGTATAAAAATATAAGATTCTTGAAAAAGCAACATTAACGTTCCATTGATTTTGATACTCAAAAATTGAAGATAATGATAAGGAATAAGAAGAAAGATATGTAAAAAATTTACAAGGCTTGTTCAAATTAAATTCAATTTAAAAATGGTTGAGTAGTATTGATGTTAAACATTACATCTGATTAACAAAAGAAATATAATTTTAATGAATTATTGTTCATCCTTTTCATCTTATGTATCTATGAAAACGGAGTCTCTAGTATATGTTTTAGAGAACATTTTGACTTTGAATCTTTTATAATGCCTTTTAGAATTATATATATGGAATTTTCTTGACTGTTTGATTCTTCAATTTAAATTTTATGACCCAAGATATAATCATTTCCTGTGCGAATGTCTCCTTTCAATTCATTTAATTTGCATAAAGCATAAAGAAACAGTGTTCTTACCCTGGCATTTGCGACTTTCTGTCTACATTTAAGTCCATAAGTCTCAATTTGTTCTTCGTCTAAAAAATAAAGCCTAATACTAATACATTCCGGTATGGTATTCTAGATTTTTAATGGTATTAATACTATAGATATGTATATAAAAAGTATTACTTCTTCTAGATTGAGATGAAACGAAGACTTCAACACACAAATAACAAATAGCAAAAATACCGCACTCCAAGGAAATATTTTTCGGTATTATTTTTTTATTGACAAATGCTTTTTCTTAATGAGAGATTTAAAAATTCAAATAATTATGAAAGAAACCGTATGAAGACAAAATCGATAATATCAAGTAATGAGTAATCAAAGTTATAGTATAGATCCTTTCCTGGTAGAAGAAAGCATGTCTTGTACGTACCGAATAGACCATAAAAATCCAGTATTGTTTCATATATATTTTTGAATGAACCTGATTGAAAATATTTGCGATAGTCCTTATTTCTTTTGTGATAATAAAAAAATCACCTTTTGAAGTTCCAAACCACTGTTTTTCTTCTGGTGCATCAAATTTCTCCTTCACCTGTAAATTATACAATATTTCAATGCATATTTAAAATAGTACAGGGATATGCATTGATTTCAACTACCGCGGAGAGAAACATCTCTTTGGTACTGTCTTCGATCATTAAATTTCAAGTATTACTAGAAAAAAATTTTTAAAAAAAATATATAAATAGCATATGTTGGTCAAAACTTTTATTGTTTCACAAACATACAGATTTATTGATGAAGTATTTTTCAAATGGACAAATTTAATCGAAAGTTGGACATTCCATATGGCTCTCACAGGTTATATCGTTTAAATGAAGTTCGCTGTTAACAAATCAAAATGTTGAAAATAGTTGTTTTATACTGAAAGCCATTTATATTAGAAGTTTGGTAAAGCAAAAAAAAATAGAGAATACGTTTATGAGTTCGTTTGAGAAAATTAAACAAATTTTAAGCCGAAAAAAAAAGAATACGTTTAGGCCACACCAAATCAAATTCTAGTTCTTCGGACTCTTTCCTTTGAAAAAGGGTAGCGAGAGAGCGAAATTTTTTCATTTGTTTTTTTTTTTCTGAAAATTGATTTTTGGCAGACGAAGAAATTTTTTACTAGCGAGCGATATTATTTTTGAAATATTTAAAAAAAAATCTGTGAAAAGAATTTTAAGCAAGCGAGCGATTAGAAATTTACATAGTTTCGGTGCTTTATATTTTATATATCTCACATCCTAGTTCTTATATTAACCTTCTTTGCTTCTCTATTTGTTCTCTAACATCCAGTTTAATCTTTTCAAAACATTTCCAAGTATAAAATGGTTAACTTGTAGCAAAACCTACAACTTTGTGTAGTCTAATCAAATAAATATGATCCTGCTGAACATGAAAAAGTGCAACAGCTTTGAACAGGCATGCGTCCGTGTTTAATGTAAATTATAATTGATGCATTGTATGTTACTTTAAATAAAGTATACAAAGCATAAATGCATGTATAAAGCTTGTATATACATCCAAAAATATTTCTGTATATTAACAAGCTGAACATTAATAAAGGACTGACCATACAAAACCACACCAATTTATACCATTCAAATGAACCCATAAGATGCTATATACTAACTAAACGAAAGGAACATTTCAATACATTCCACTTAAGTCACTGCTTTCCTGTAGAATTTAATGATAATCAAATTTACATACCGGGTATATATACATGAATATATGCATGTGGACATTGCTCTGTGTTGAAGGCCATACCGTGAAGTAGTTGCAAACCTCAAAAAATGTGACGTTACTTTTTGTGGCGTTGATCCATTCGTGTTACAGACACACACTTCGTAATTCTATTAAGCTGTTTTGTGTACTATCCTAAATTATTTTAGTTATTATGTGGTTAACATGTCGAAATGTACTATTATAATATTTATTTATGTATTTCTCTGTCTTTGGTGTTTTTGCATTTATTTGTACTCTGTTCCCGTCATGTAATGTTGTCATGTTAGCGGTATATTTAACATTGCCATAAAGTGCGGAGGTTTGGCTAGCCACAAAACCAGGTTCAACCCACCATTTTTTCTTAAAATGTCCTGTACCATGTCAGGAATATGGCAGTTGTTATTTAATATATCGTTTCTATGAATGTTGCATTGTTGTTTGTTTTTTGTTGCACTTCTGTGTTCTGTTATTTCGTTGTTTTCCTCTTAAAGTTGATGTGTTTCCCTCGGTTTAACTTTGTAACCGGGATTTGTTTTCTCTCAATCGATTTATGACTTTTAGATGGCGGTATACTACTGTTGCCTTTATTTAGGGGTCAGCTGAAGCCAGCCTCTGGTGCTGGATTTTCCTGCTTTGTTGAAGACCCATTGGTGGTCTTGGGCTGTTTTCCCTGTTTTCTGCTCTTTGTTCAGTTGTTGTCTCTTTGACACATTCCCCTTTCCATTTTCCATTTTATTTTAATATTACTTTGTAATGATACAAGCATATATAAATAAATTTCAAAATTTTAAAGGAAAAACCTTTATTCTAAAAAAAAAAAAAAAAGATCAATAAAATAGTTTCGGTTGAGGTGCCATTTCAATTCATGTATCATCAGCTTTGGGATTCTCTTTTATTCTTATGCATGTTTTATCATGTATATTGTCACAATTTAATTTTTTCAGTTCGGTGATGTCGTTGCTTTATCGTTTGATCTTGATAGGTATACAGTGAATCATTCAAGGATATTACTACACCAAACGTGATTCTAGTAATTCGCTTAGTTGGACACCCCTCACTGTGACACTGAAAGTTTTAGCTGGTTCTTCTGCTGTTTAAATCTTGGTGAAAATACCCAGTTGTAGTAGGTTCAATCTTTAATTGTATTGGTATGAAGCAGAATTTTAATGTGTCTGGTTTTGTTTGCAGTCTCAGGAAATGTTGGCCATATAAATGCATGTTTTTGGTTGTCCTAGATGTTTTTTTTTCTCCGTTGAGTTGATCAGATCATCATAAACAGATGGTAAGTTGGCTTGATCGTGTATGCCTTTGCAGAAGAGGATAAATCTGTTTTGGGTTCGACGATCTTTTAGAGATGGTAGTTGCAGCTGGTCATAAAATTGCTGTCATATTTCCTGGGTCGTAATAATTTGTAGTTTAGTGTTATGCAGGAAGCACTTCCAACAAATCGGTAAAAGAATTGCCCAAATCACAAATTCTACTGATGTGTTTGCCTGCGTTACCACTGTAACTACCAATATTCCACTCCTGTCTTACGTTAAGAATGATTATCATACTAAATTTACAACGTTGTGAATGTTAGATCTAGATCGTTTTTAATGTCAATTTCTATGTCTGTATGGCGTTACTTTCAAACGCACAACTGATCAAAATTGTTGCTTCATAAATTTAGAGGCGGACGCGCGCGGCTCCGTACTGGACGCGGGTTCTTAAAAAAAGTACTTTTTTCTGATCGACCTTTCACAACACGCGGGAAATCCGACGAACGAGGTATTAATTTGGCGTGGCCTCATGCGTTTGTTTGAAAAAAAAATAAACAAATTTTGGGCAGAGACAGAATCAAGATTTCTTTAATTTTGCGTTGATGTTCTTAGACATGTTTTCACTGTTTCAAAAAATTTATTAGAAATAACCAGTACTCTACCAAAATTTTGCATGGGTGCACTTCGATGATAGATTTTAGAACAGCATGATTTCACCGAAATTTAGCATGGGTACACTTCGATGATCGGCAATTTTATTTCTTTTGAGATTGTAAGAGCGATCATTCTTTGATAAGGTAGTATGTATAATAGTTGTGGTTTTTGTTATCTATTGTATTGTAATATAAGAGTAAGTACTTATTCTGTACTGGTATTTATTTGATGTTCTTTTTTTATCGAGATTAAGAGAAAAAAAGGTTAAGGTAGATGGGGTGTCTAAATTATAATCCATAGAATTTTTTGATAATTTGCCAAAATGTAGTTTATATCATGCTTTTTTCAAAAAAATAATAAAAAGAATGGGTCACGGGCCTTATTTTCACGCTACAGGTTGTGCAAAATTGACAGATTTTGTATAGATTATGCATGGAAAACCCAATTTTCTGCCATAAAATGAAAACTACACCATAGAATTTTGAGATAAAATATGAGAAGATAGGGTTAATAGTATGCTTTCATATAAGAAAAAGAAAAAATGGGGTCACCGGACCCGTTTTCTTGCTACATAATAAAATAGGTAAATTCCTAACACATTCTATTGTAAAAGTAACATTATGTGAATTATCTGCCCTTACATTTGAGTTGCCTCCCCTTATGTGGCAAAGTTGGAAAAAATAGAATCAAACAAAAGTATTCTGTTTTTTTGTAAAATACAACCATAAATATGATAAAATATGTCATTTTCTATATTGAAATGAATATTCTTACACATGAATTACCACCTACTCTCAAAATTTGCACCTTTTATTATAAATCTAGACCGACTGTTTTCTGGTATTTCAAAATCCAAGATGGAGGAAGACACCCTATCTACCTTAAGTTATAAAAAAACTAGTTGAAGCCCGCCAATAAATACATATGCCTTGCACAAGTCAATAATATTGTGAGTCGTTATTCATCTCATGTCCTAATGTTTTTATCCATTTTGAGTATTGATGGGAGATCTTTGATATTTTTTATCTGGCGTTTAATCGCTTGACATATAGAATATACATCTCGTTTATTTTTTTTTAAGAAAACAAATCTAAATATCAATAGGTTTTCAATCGTTAGATGCTGTTTATTTACGCAAAACACCACATCTCTTTTAATTAACTGTTATCTGCGTTCAGTTCTTTATGTAGGTTCTCATAATGTTTTTTTTAATTTGCATGGTGATGCTTCTATATGTTAAACTTACTTGCTGTACATATTTCTTCAAATAAACCAGTTTTCTATGGCTTTCATTTATTTCTCTGTCTATCTGACTTATATTTTCCTCCAAGAATTCAAGTCTTTCCTCCCATTCTGAACAATGTATGCCTTCACACTGAAATTTGAAAAAAGACTTAAATCTATATTATGTCAGCAATCTATTGACCTGTACATTCTTCGACATATTTAAGTACTAATGTTTATCTTTTCTGTACATGTATCTATAATTTCTAACAAAATTATGTTGAACATTTTTTATTATTTCCTGTTCTCGCATTTCTAACGTTTCAGTATTGAGTTAAACTTGACTGAGTTATAAATCATATTGTCTTTTGTGATATCACCATCAACACTTACTGCGAGTTCGAGATCCAACAATGAATGTTTTATTGTTTCTATTTGTATGCCATTTCTATCTGCAAATAAAAAACACAGCAGTCAAATAAAACCCGTTTTTTATCATAAGTGGTCTTTCTCTGATTTCCCTGATGTACAAAAACCTTTTTAAAATATAAACAAGAAGCTGTCAAATGACAGCAAACCGGATTTTCCTACAGAGGTCGAACCCTGATTACAGTTGAGCAAGTATGGACACAACATTTAAGCTTAAAACAGATCTGAATTTGGATTGTGATTGAATATTCGACACAGCATAGGTTTGTGACACAAAATGAATGTGGTCAAAGAACTTAATTAAACAGTAACACACACAACAAAAAGAAAATACCACAGAACAACTGTGACATCTACCTTCAAAACACACAACTTTAAAAAAAAAATAGTTATAAAGAAGTTTTTGACAACTCCTGACTAAAATCATTTGAACAGATACAGTCATTGATAAACTTATAATTTACACCATTTCTGTTCAAGGGGAAATAACTCAAAATATAAACAAGAGACCAAATGACATAGAAATTACTTATTAATTACACCATTTCTGTTCAAAGGGAAATAACTCAAAATCATAATTAGAATCACTTTTGCTACTGAAAGGTCTACAACTCAACAACGAGAACAGCTAAAATCGTGAAAATTGAACTTGATCTTTATTTAGTTACAGGAAACAACATATCTAAATTTGAAAAGATTTCGTCAAAGCGTTTCCATGTTAATGAACGGACACTGTTTGGCAGCCGCCCGCCCGCCCGCCGTACATCCCCAAATCAATAACCGATTTTTCTTTTAAATAAGAAAATCCGGTTAAAAAGTATAAGAAGACTATTATTTAATGAATCATTTAGTTCGTTTAACATATAAGGAAAACCTAATAGCTTAATTTATGAAAGGGAAAAAACGGTTCAGGATAAACAATTTTGGAGCATTACTGTTGTACTTGAGGCATTTGTGCAATATTATACACACAGCAGTCATGAGTGATATATATTTTAAAAATAACATCCATAATGAATATTACCTTGTTTGGAACGTGTGTTAACTTCGTATATAATTTGGAATTTCTGCACCAAAAACTTCGGTTTCTTCAGGTATTCCTCCAAAGCAAAGGCTATGTCACAGCACTCGCCAAAATAGATGTCAAACTGTGATTCTGTTATATTTGTATTTTTTAAATGACATAACTCGTTTCTAATTCTGATCAGTGATGTTATATGTGTTTCAACATTGTTTTTCTCGTAAAAATGTCGAAGGAGTACCGCTATGACTGTTATGTCGAAAGGTCGGTATCCAGTTCTTGAAGCATTGAATATGAGTTCTTCTTCTCTTTGGGTAAATCGTCTCTTTAACTTTCTTTTAACTGCATGATAATAGTCTTCTATTTTAGAATTGGCAATAGAATGCTGTAAAAGTTCCCTGAGTAGCTCAGTCAACTCATCAAATATTATTTTGTTCAAAATAGGTAAATATGTATTGCACTCCAATAGTCTATAGTCCACTGAAGACGTTATAGGAAGCGGCATTTTCTCATGTTCAGGTTTCCTTGAGAAATCCAACAAATTCTAGATGAAATTACCTAAAATACATGATGAAAAAGTTTAAGTTGTTTATTTTGTTTGTTTTGTTTGTTGGTATTTATATCACTTTAAGATACATTGAGCTAAATCATGGCGGTCAGTTTTTATTGATTGAGGAAGCCGAAGTACCCGGAGAAAACCACAGACATTCAGTAGAAAATTGGGCAATCCTTGTCAATCAAAATCGGAGTCACACACACAATTTGCGTTTTTTAAATTTAATTTCAGATGTTTAGATTTACTAATGATGTTTTCCAATCTTTTTTATGGTAGTGTTTGTTCTGTTTTCGTCTTGTTGTTTGTTTAATTTTTTTTTCGTTTTGTTTTGGATGATATCTCAATACTCACTAACACATTCTTATACTTGTGTCAAGCTCCTTTGTTATAATGTATGTATCATTTTGTCAAACATTGCATAGCAGACTATAATTCTTTCGTTATATCTATCAGCAGCTTGATACAGTAATAATGGATCTTGAAACGTTTAAATTACATATCAAACAAGCATTCTGAGAGTATTGCATGGCAATACATAGTCCCCTACCGGTTAAAAGTTCATTGTACTGGACCAAAATGCAAACTTAATCTATATCTTGTCACGGAGTTAAACTATATAACAAATATCAAGTCAATATATTCAAGCATGACGAAAAAGGTGTGGAAAACTGATTATTTAAGGAATTTTCTAAGTCCAATGACTATTACTCTGCACAAAATCATCAGACCGGAACAAAATTCGAACTTGATCTGTAACTTGTCATGATAAAACTATATACCAATTATGAAATCAATATCTTCAAGCACGACGAAAAAAAGTGCGGAAAACTGATTAATTGAGTGAATTTTCTATCCCCACGGACCATAACTCTGCACAAAATCATCAGACCGGAACATAATTCGAACTTGATCTGTAAATTGTCATGATAAAACAATACACCAAATATCAAATCAATATCTTCAAGCACGAAGAAAAAAAAGTGTGGAAAACTGATTTGCCAGACTGACGGATGGACAGACAGACGGAGTGCAAACCTAAAGTCCCCTTCGACTTCGTCGGTAGGGGACTAATAAGGCAAATGAATGGCATTGTTTTCCTTCTATCGGCAACAACACTTTGAAATACACATACGCATGAAATTATTTAACTAGTTGTTTTTATTTTTTGCCATTAACTTTTCTGCCTGTATATCTTTACATAAGCGGTTCAGATTGAAATAGTTGCTAAATCCCATATGTTGCACTGAATTCGAAACGCTTGTCTAAAACTTCATTTAAAAAACAATATGACAAACGTTTCTTGGAAAATACATTTGATTGATTGATTGATTGATTGATTGATTGATTGATTGGTGTTAACGCCACTTTCAGCACTATTGTGCTATATCGCGTCGGTAAGTTTTATTGGTGGGGGAAGCCGGAGTGCTTGGAGAGAACCACCGACCTTTGGTAGGAAAACTGACAATACTAGTCCATTTGGATCGCAGTCGAGAGCACCTGCAACGAGCGGGATTAGAACTCAAAGCTCGGTAATGACAGGCTAGTGATACAGTAGTTCGTCTACTTAGACCACACGGCCACCGAGGCCCGAAAAGACATTTGAAAAACAGTTTAAAGACTATTGGGTTATATTGCCAAATTAATCACTGCTATACGTTAGAAAATACTTTTACATTTATACATTACGTGCATTGCATGTATGGTATATCGTTTTTTGCAAAATAGTTTAATATCTCCCTCTTACATCCAACTATCATAATTTTGCTTCAAATTTGAAGGATTATTTATTTTTACATATATATATTTCCTTTACCATTTCTGGTAAACGTTTAGTCCCCGAGAGTATCACGAGCCAAATAATCAATTCGTGCTGACTTGAAATGTCATTTATTTGTTCATTTAATCTACATTGTTTATCAAATGTTTTAATTATTCGAAACACTAACGTTCTTCTTCACGAAACGCGTGTCGGCATATACTTTTTCGATGCCAATAGTGGTTACCGATTCGGCCTTGGGTGTATCACTAACGCGGTAATAGCGCAGAAATGTCGAGGGTTAAATAATTTTGTGTAAATTTACTGTGTATCGAATGCGTAGTATATTCGAAAAGATCAGGTTGTCTAGCCCAGATATAGATAGACGACTAAGCCAGATTTGGCGCAACCGTTTTTGTGATTTCTGGTTTTCGAAGATCTTTAATTTCGTAATGATTTTTTCTTCTAACTCTTTTAAATGATTTGAGTGCACGGATGAGTCTTAATTGGACGAAAAGCGCATTTGGTGTACAAAAATTGTAACCCTAGTATATTTGAAAACTTTTTATCTACTCTCAAGAAAAATAGAGAGAATCAATTTCGAATTGTAATTTTTACAGTGCACAAGCTTAAGTAGGTGTCAACACCCAAAAATAAACTGCCTTATAACAACAAAGAGGTCATAGGAGATCATATATCAATATAGAAAAGTGACAAAAAAATAGCATGCATGCGAAAACATCACAATTCTACTAGTTGCCAATTCAGTATTATAATATTACACACACAAAAATGGAGAAAAACAAACACATTTATTTTAGGTTGTGTATATATTAATATAAAAGTTTAAAAATAACCATTTGGTTGAAATCATATGACTATCATTATGATTCATGTTAAACTTGTTACCTTTAAGATTTATTTACTTCTCCTGTTTTCGTATATTTTTCATCAATAAATTAACATCACAAATTATTATTGACACAGATAATTACATTATCCAAAATTAAAACAATAGTTTTTCCATCCGAGGTTTGTTGTGATAACTGGTGTGAAAGAAGGGTGACGACATCAATCCATACCCTTTAAATCGCCATCTTGGGATGATTTATATCTTGCAATAAAAATGTAAATTGTACCTGTGTGTTATCACAATAATAAATAACAAAGACAGAAAAGCGCACTTACATACACATCTAAGATGGCCTTAAATGATTCCAATGGTTTTACAATAATCCTGGGGAAAAACACGTCATGTGCATGTGGGCGGAATAAAACTTATTTAAAGTTCTTTTAAAAGCGCGAATTTCAAATAACTTAGATGATAAATATTATATACTATAGTTTCAATAATATGTTAAAGAATAGCAAACTGAAATACATATACAACATATATCATGCAGTTAATTCATTAGTCAATCCTTTAAGTTACTTTTAGTTTCGAAAATAGAACATGGCAAATATTTACATTTAATTTCATAAAAAATCATCTTTTTATGGTTGCTGCTTTTTTTATTGAAATATACTTGAAGAAATTTTTCACTGAAAGAAGAAGAAAATAGAGTGACTATAACTTTCTAGACATGCAGATCTAACAGCGTGATGACCTACATTTGAATTTGTTTGACCATGTTTCAACACAATTTGTGTTAAAACAGGTACATATTCTCATTAGACTGACATAAACGAACATCTGAAAATATCTCTTGAAAAAAACAAGGCCTATGTAGATACTACTTATATTTATTTTTTTAACAAATCCGCTAAACCACAAAGGAAAGTTAAAAAAACGGGGATCAGTCGCATTCGGTGATGTCCTAATAAATAAAAATAGGTATAAAATGTGACTACGACAATTATGACATATATCAGTGGTTATTTGTGACACTGATTATCCAGACAACCAAATCTTGATGAAAAAATTTCAACTGTACTTTTTGAAATCGTGATAGGAAACTAACGCCCTGGAACATGATTTCAATTGGGGGATAAGTATCTATGTAAATCACCCAAGTCAACCTGTTTCGCTATATAAATACATCTTTATTTTAGTTCTAAAATACCATCACAGGCAACTTGCAAAGTAGATTGCATCACAAAACACTAGCTTTACTTCTTCCGCTGTCTCCAAGATATAAACCAAAGGTTTTGAAAGAACCCTTGTGAAGTCCTAGGCAGACCATGCGATATACAGTAACATTTATAGAACTAAGGTAATCTAAATTTGCAGGTGTCGCCTCTTTTGTAAAGCAAGGTCAGGATATGTAGAGTTTCTAAATGCACTGACAACGTCAAACTCATTATCCAAGCACTGAGTTCGCCTCTACAGTATTCCGATTCCTTCATATTGTGATAAAACATAATTTAGGTAGTACACCGTTGTTCTGTTATTCTAATAAGTTAAAGTATAAAACAGAAAAAAATTTAGTGAAAAAATGGGAATCGCATGAATTTCAAATATATTCAAGGATACTACAGTTTACCGATAACTCCATTAAGAAGGTACAAGTATATGTAAGCATAAAAACTGAGAGCATCGCATGAACTCCAAAACGGAGAACTTAGAACTTTTAGAATTTTATTAAATAAACTCAGACACCGTAACTGCGCTACAGGAGCATCAATTATACATAATACATTATAATTATAATTACAGATGACAGGATTAGTATAAATTATCTAACTTATAAAACTATACAACTTCGTACTACGGTGATACATATATATATTATCACGTATAATTTTCAAAAGATAATACACAAGTTCATACTTTAATGATTTATGCCTTGAGTGCACTCGATTCTGTTCTTGTACATAACAACCAAGTGTTAAATAGAGTGCAGTGTTATTGTAATGTGATTAATTATAGTATCCTCTACTATATTATGAAGTAAGTGAATCTAGCAGATTGACTCTATAAGAGTTTTACATTATTATGTTTTTAGAAACCATGAGAGGTGACTAAGAACTTGTGTATTTCCTATTTTCAAAATTGTATTCATTTTTAACCTACTCGGCACATTTACAAAGTAACCCGCTATATATTTAGTTCTATCTTTCAATACATGTATTTCACAACAGAAAATTTAATAAAACTCATTTCCAACAGATTGTTTACAGAGATTGTGAGACCGGGTGCGTCGACGTGGTATGCGTCTAATGATAAACATGTTACACTCACAATGCGAATCCACACTCAATCAAAAAGTCACAATCGGGATAAGGACAGAATCGGTAGATTTTTAGATCAGACATTTATTTCTAGTAGTGATGGTGACGTAAAGCTTTTGTATTGTCAATTTCAGTAGTTTTTCTTCATAACTTGTTGGATCATTTGTTTGTGTCAGTAGCACACCCTTGTTAATGAACATCATATAGTTCAAACTTGCATGAGGGAAACGTATTAACTGATATTTGTATGCGCTAAATGGGAAGTTGACAAAAAATTGGAATAATGAAATCATCACGTTTGTCATAAATTCTAATTTGAAGTCGTCAATATGGTTCAATATCGAGGAAAATGTCAAGATATGAAGCAGATCTAAGTAAGTAAGTAAGTAAGTTAGTAATGACTTTATTTAAAGAGGGTGACTCAATTAGCATTCACTAATCTACCTAGAGGCCCTCACTATAAGAACAAAAAGTACAAATATTACAAAGCTTACAATTTTGAACATATTATGTAGATGCAATATTCATGCTAACTATACATTGTCGTCTGTAGAACAAGAGAAAATTAAATTCATATATATATACATAAAATACAAAATCATTAGAATATATGAGTGTGTTGTTATAAATCATTTACAGTTAAGAAATCTACACATTTTTGTTTAAAAGTGTCCAGGATTTCACAACATTTTATTTCAATTGGTAGTTTATTCCAAAGTATTGAGGAGCTCTATGTGAAAGATTTCTTCATTGAATTTGTGTTCGGTCGCACAACAGCTAAATTATTATTTGCAGATGACCTTCTATTTCTACTATGTAGGTTAACAATTGGACAACAGAGTTCCTTTAAGTAATCAGGTGCTTTATCGTTGAGAATTTTATGAACAAGAATAAGTTTATGATATGAAATTCTAGATTTGAAATTTAACCATTTTAGCTCTTTAAATAAATTTTTACTAAGTGTTAGTATTGGTGCATCAAGTATAATCCTTGCAGCTCTTTTCTGCATTTTAAGAAATTTGTGATATCCATCTTCATAACAATTTCCCCATATTGAGCAACAAAAATCAAATATGGGCAGAATATAAGCAAAACATATATAATACAGCTTTCTACTACTAATATCCGAAAATTTCTTAATTCTAGATAGCAGTGCGATACGAGAACTTAAGTTTTTACATGCATTGTCCATTTGAAATTTCCAGTCCAAATTTTTGTCAATATATACACCCAAAAGTTTCTGTATTTCAACGGGTGTGATTGGGCTATCTTGCATTGATATATTCATATCATTTCCTAGCAAAGTCCGTTTCTTATTTGTTCCAATCAACATAGAAGTAGTTTTTAAAGGATTCATAACCATCCTATTGTTCGAACACCAACTATGTATGGTGTTGGCATCGTAATTTAATTTTCTTTCTATCTCTTCCTTGTTTGTTCCATATGTATGAAGTGTTGTATCATCAGCATACATATCAATGGCTGTATGAGTGGCTTCTAAAGTCATGTCATTTATGAATAAAACAAACAGAAGGGGACCTAAAATAGACCCTTGGGGAACCCCATATTTGATACATTTAGAATCTGAGACTGTATTACCAGAGCACACTTTTTGTTTTCTGTTAGACAGGTACGACTCAAAACATTTTATTGAATGATCAGAGACTTTGTATAAATGTAATTTATGGCAGAGAATGACGTGATTAACCAGATCAAATGCTTTTTTTAAATCTAGAAAGATTGTTCCTACAACATTGCCATCATCAATACATTTAATCCAGGTATCAATTAATTTGGTAAGGGCTGTCCGACATGAGTGTTTAGATCGGAATCCAGATTGTGCCTCGTGTAATACTTTATATTTTGACAGATATAGATAAAAATGTTTTGCGACATGTTTTTCAAGTATTTTTGATAGAGTAGGAAGTATTGATATTGGTCTGTAGTTTTCTGGCGTGTGTTTATCACCATTTTTAAATATTGGATTTACTTTAGCTAATTTAAGAATTTCTGGGAAAACACCTTCTAGTATACTTAGAATTATTAAATACGTTATACCGTTGGGGCTAAAGCATCCGATGACAATTTGATGAAAAACGGACCAACTTCATCAAGTCCAGTCGCTTTGGTTGTTTCTAGTTTAGAAAGTAATTTCTCAGTTTCATCTAGCTTAATAAATGGAATCTTAAATTTAACACCAGCGGGTATTTTATCTTGAACATAATCATTTAATTTATTTTCTTGAAATTGCGTGTTATTTGTTACATATATATCGCCTATTGTTGTAAAGTGTGTGTTGAAATGATTTACTATATCTTGCATATTATCATATTCTTTATTGTCAAAATTCATGGTAGATGGAATTTCATTTTGTGTTTTGGGTTTTAAATCTTCAAGTAAAGCCCAAATTTCTTTAGGTTTTTTGTTATTTTCTATTGCTTGCTTGAAATAGGACTGTTTAGAGTTTTCTATTAATTTGGTACATTTGTTGCGCCAATAACGTCCCTCTTGCTTTGATAATATTTTTTTTTCTTTTGAGCGACTTTCACCTCATCTGTAAGCCAATCTGGTTGGCGTATATGTTTAATTCTTTTAACTTTGACAGGAGCATGTCTGTTAATAACTGACAGAAATAGTTTATACCACATGTCAGTGGCAGATTGAATGTCACTTATTTGTTCTAGTTGAGCAAAATTTGTCTTATTTAAATCCTCCAAAAAATGTTTTCATTCAAGTTTTTGAAACATCGATACCGAATTTGTTTATGTTGTAAGCTCGGGATATCTTTTTAGTTTATTTTTCTCGTAATGCATACTGGATAGTGATCACTAAGGGCTATTTTGGGGACATTTGTTTCAACTATATTTTCAGGGTGGTTAGTATAAACATGATCAATGATTGTACTTGATGTTGATGTGATACGGGTAGGAGTATCAATTAATTGTACAATAGATTGTGT